GTTCAATACAGATGTTTGAGAAAAGTGTAATTATGATACTGTAATTGAAATGGGCATAAAGTTAAGTTGGTATTAGCCTGCTTTCCTCTTTCCCTGCAGCACTAAAAATTTCACCAAGTCTCCAACAGAAAATGTTTAAAGTGTGTTTTTCATTTGAGCTTTGGACTTCAAGGTTCATGCTTTTTCAAATTTTTCTTAGTGATTGCAGAAACTAAAACAAACAAAAACTCTGGAAAAAAAATAATTAAAAAATAACCCTTACACTAAGAGCCAGAGTCCTCAAGAGTGTGACATTTAAGATAAACATCAAGGGAGCGAGCAGTATTGCATTTATGGGTAAGGTATTTTTTATAGTTAACAGATGAACTAATATATTTCCATTATCAATCAGTTTATTTTTTAACATTCACAATAACTTCAAAGCATCATATGCTGTAAAATGATAAAAATTCTAGACAATCTTTAGTAATGGTAAGAAATTAGCAAATTACTTGTAATAGAGATATAAAAAAAGGAAAACTAGATTGGGCATATGTATCTAACCTTCTTCCTTTTTCCCCTCCCTCTGTCAGATTCAGGAAAATATCCTTTCTTATTTTTATGAGGTCCTATTAAGTAGTAACATGTCAGTAATAATTATTACTGTGTTCAAAAATCAAAATGAGTGCTCAGCAAAAAGCTATTTTTATGGAAATACTGCTTCTTAAAAATGTTTTGCATATGCAACCAGAAAGATTTAAATATATCCTAAGCGCAGTAATACCGCTGAAAATAGTGCTCAGGTGGCAGGTATGAATGACAGGAAGATAATTTACACAGATTTTGAGAAGTGATATTGCAAGAGACATTGGGGGACTCTAACATTTGGAGTAAGAACTTCTAACTGGATGTATAGAGGGAGAGATGAACTGTAGTTCAGTTTCAGGAGGAGACAGGTCGAGTAGAAAACAGACTTGTCTATTTTCATGATGGAGCTTGTACACGGTTGCAGCTGAGATTAACCCAGAAATAAGGCTGAATGGGGAAAAAGGAGGAGATCAGAAAGTACATCATATTTCCCCTCTCTCAAACCAAACCCCTGGCTCTGTTGAAGCAGCTCCTCTGAAGGGTATGCTGGAGAGGGAGGAAAATCAGAAGCAAGAATATGGTTAACCAAGAATGAGGGAAGATAACCAAAAAAGAGTATGGTTGATTAATATCCAAAGTATTGATGGAGGACATTGGAGTACTCTCTCTAAGCTTCAGCTATTAGTAGGTTGGTGTAAAGGTTGGCGAGGTGTCCTTTGTGGTTGGTGTCTGAGCTGGCTGAACAGGATCTAAAACAGCTGGAGAGAGGACACTGTGTTTCTTGTCTCAGAGGTGAAGGAGAAGGGTATGGGGAGTTGAATCAAGAGTGGATTTTTGCCAGAGACAAGCATTCTAGGATTTTGATCAGCAAGCTGGAGAGTAGGCAAAGGGAGTCAATGAGAGCAGGTACACGAATGAAGTGGGGTCACTGAGGGGGAAAAAAAAAAATGATTGAAGAGCAGAGGTTTGAGGATTTTTCTTCGTGTAGATGTAGACTACTAACAGAGGTAACAGGAACAAGCCCAACAGAGCAAGGAGCAAATACTTTCAGAAAGCATGGAGACCAAAATGGATATATGGATACATTTTTTTAATTAGTAGATCCCCTACAATGTAGTTATTAGTTACATGAAATTGTAGTCTTTCAAATATAAAAATTGCATATGCTACAAATAATAAATTTTCCAAATCTGTAGGAAAGAAGTTAAAAGCAAAGTGATAAATCTGAAGAATAATGAATATTCTGCATTATTCAAGAAATTAACAGAATAGCCTTTTCTGCATTATTATTTTTCCCAGGTACTTCTGACATTGGTGGTTTACTGATCTTAACTCACTACTTCAGTGTAGTCCTAAATTATTTTTCAGTCAGGCAAAATTTTAGCGTAGGAAAGGAAAAGTGTGATTGATTTTTGTGGGAGTGTTTTCTCAACATCCTTGGCAGGAGAGAAGCCAGCATTCTTAGTGCTGTTTTGGGCAATGCTGTTCAAATCTAGTGAAGTTTCAGTGTATTAAGTCTGGTATAATATTACTTGGATAGGTCTTTACATCCTTTCAGGTGTAAGCTTGTAGGAGAATGCTTACAGTCTCCTCCAAATGGAGTGAAATATACAGCAGTCATATAACTCTCTTTTTATGTATTATAATTAACCTTACAATATGTGGAGTGGATCCAGATTTTAAATATAGCATCCGAAATATTTTAAAATAAAGAAATATCATTTTTAGATAAACTATTGCTTTGAGTAGTGACTGCTGGATGCATACCTCATACATAATTGTTAAAATAAGTAAGACTGCTAAAAGGAAACTGTATAAGTCTTTAATGTGATCTGACTATTTTACCTTGTATTCTTATTAAGCATTGATTTTGATTTTTTTAATGAGTTTTCATAAACGTGGTACACAATCAACCACCCATGTTAAAAATGCTATTAAAACTGAAATACAACTGGAAGAGCTAAGGTTTCAGAAAAATTTATTTGAAAACAAATAATACAGTTAAATAGCTTTTACAGTACAACATGATGCATGTTGTCAGAACATTGAATTTAGTGCCTACCAAATAAAAATACAATTACTCATCTAATTATTTAGATGACTAAATGCAATGACCAAAATTTTTTTATTTGTTTGCACCTTGGAATTTTGTCCTCTTTAGTTGGGGAGATAAAAAAGGGATCTCTGAGAGATAAACTTTTACAGATTGCAACTGTGCTTCATCCATATTTTCACCAAGTTGCAAGCTTGTCCTCAGTCTTGAATGCAGAGATGACTTAAAGTATGCTTACTCATATGGTGGACAAAAAAATACACATTTATGTACAGAATTCATACTTGAACCTGCAGGTACATTCGCTTCTGTATGGAAAAATACATGTGAAAAACCTTGAGGTCAAAGATGAACATTTTGCTCTTGTGTACATTCTCGTGTTGTCATACAAGGGGTTTATCTGGGTAATACCCATCAGTGCAAATGACAGATACATAAATCAGTGAGAAAATAGACTCCAGTAGAAGTGGTCCTTTTAAATTTTGAATTTTATAAAGCACACATAATATTCATATTCTTTTCTTTCCAAAATTAATTATAAACTAAACCAAAGGGATTCAGTTAATCAGAAATCTGCTCAAACACTTGTAGAACAGGTATTCTAAGTCTTAAAATCTGCTGTACATTTCAGTGCCCCAACGGATGTTAGTATAAAGGGCAAATACAGTTAGTATAAAGCTAAAGCTCCAGAATAAGGGATATCTTGATTTATAACACAGTTAACAGCTGATAGGTCTGACTATATTGCAACTTTCTCGTCTTCAATGTTGTTTCCTGTTGGTCCATCACTTATACAGAGCAATTTAAAATATAAAAAAAAATATTATCGGAGGTGAATTAAAGCCACAGGAAGATGGAGCTTTGAGAGTTCCTCTTCAGTAGATATTTGAACCAAAAAAGTCAGAATGCTCTGTTCAGAACCCGTAGTACAAATGGTAAGGAAAACGTGGTACCGTTTTAATTATTGTTGCCTGTTTAATGTGGAATTTCTTGCGGCCATGTCCTTGAATAACCATTTCTTAACAAAAATGACACAATTTTGTAGCCAGTGATCCATGACTTCAAATATTTGGAAGGGCTGTTGATTCACTGAACTGGAAGAAATTAGAGATGTTGAGGCATATTTTCAAAAGTAGGATTACATGTATTATATTTGATCATGTATATTATAGAATCACAGAATGTTAGGGATTGGAAGGGACCTCAAAGGATCATCTAGTCCAATCCCCCTGCCAGAGCAGGACCACCCAGATCAGATCACACAAGAACACGTCCAGGTGGGTTTTGAACATCTCCAGAGAAGGAGACTCCACAACCTCTCTGGGCAGCCTGTTTCCAGTGTTCTGTTACCCTTACTGGGAAGAAGTTCCTCCTATGTTCCAGCTTATATCCATTTCCCCTTGTCCTATCATTGGACGCCACTGAGAAGAGCCTGGCTCCATCCTTATGACAGTCACCCTTTCCATATTTATAAACATTAATGAGGTCCCCCCCTCAGTCTCCTCCAAGCTAGAGAAACCCAGCTCCCTCAGCCTTTCCTCATAAGGGAGATGCTCCACACCCTTAATCATCTTTGTGGCCCTATGCTGGACTCTCTCAAGCAGTTCCTTGTCCTTCTTCAACTGAGGGGCCCAGAACTGGACACAATATTCCAGATGCAGCCTCACCAGGGCAGAGTAGAGGGGGAGGAGAACCTCTCTCGACCTACTGGCCACACCCCTTCTAATACACCCCAGGATGCCATTGGCCTTCTTGGCCACAAGGGCACTTTGCTGGCTCATGGTCATGCTGCTGTCCACCAGGACCCCCAGGTCCCTTTCCCCTGTGCTGTTATGATGTAGAATAGAACGTATATTCTATTTACCATTTAAATAATTAAAAACCCCTAGGTACGTGTAATACAGCATTCAATTTATCTGCAGTAGCCTTAACTGAACATTGGTGGTGGTGGTGTTTAAATCGGCCGTGTGTAGTATTACAAGAGCTGCTGGGACCTACAGCACCTCCTCTTGTTCCTGTGTCATGGTCCTCTGCATGTACCTATTTCTGTTTGCGGTAGTCATTCTCTCTAGGTAAATTGTCCATGAGACCAATGGTTCCATCAGCAAATTATCCAGAAAATGCCGTCAGTGCGCATGGTGACATTTGTGCCACTGGTGGTTTTGTTGCCATTTCAGTGGTCTAATTAAATTGGCAGTTTTCTTTCGTGCCCAGCATTGTTTTCTCCCTTCCTTTGGCACCTTAGCTCAGACCTTCTCCTTTTCTCTGTCCTTTTAACTGAATATCAAATGCATTATTGATTGCTCCTCTTCCACCCTCCTCACTTCTACTCACTTCAACTTTTTTTATATCTTTTTTCTTTTTTTTTTTTGATTGGCAGTATCATCCAGACAAACAGAAGGCAGATGTGCCAGCAGGAGAAGTGGAGGAGCGCGTGCAGAGGTTCATCGAAATTGATCAAGCGTGGAAAATTCTAGGGAACGAAGAGACAAAAAAAGAGTATGACCTGCAGCAGCGTGGTAGGTTCCTGCCAAGGAGTGCTGTAGTGGCAGCAGCTCTTTAAATAAGCAGGGTCTGGGAGTGGTAGTTAGATGGTATTTTAAAATGCTGTTTATTGCTGAACCAAATGTTTCTTTCGCTCTTGTCCTACTTTCAAATGTGGATCCATTATTTATAGCTCTTGCTACACATACATTAGCTAGTGAAAACATTGAATTGCTTCCAACAAAACATTAGGTGGCGTTATTCCTAATAATTTGAATGAATATGAAATTTATACTAATTACAAACCTTAGCTCTTTTTATTTTATTAAGGCAGCTTCATCAAGCGTTCTTAGTTTTAAGTCTTATGCTACATGTTGTTGCAGTATCTCAGGTATAGGTATTAATCCATTTATACCTAGTGTTCAAAGTGTGGGGGTTTATAAGCACTTCAGAATTAAGATACATTCTTTCCAGTTGTGCGTGTGTGTGTTATGGTAGCTTTCATTATTCATCTCTAGTCTAAACTATAGTCTTTTTGAAGCAGGTTTATAAATAATATTCCAATATAACACATTAACTAGGCAGCTCTAGCCTGCATTTCTTTTTATACCTCTCAGAAAATAGCTTCTTAAAACAGTGACAGGCTGTTGTGAGAAAGAAAGGGGGGAAATGTAGGTCAGGTCTGTCACACATGGGCTACCATTACATGAAGTGATAGGCTGTCTTTCTGCTCTGGCCTCAGGATAGGAGTCCCTCAGCCTTCCATTAGAACCTTCAATAAATGTATATCCACCCTACATGTTAATGGGGGGAGTCAATAATAGTGTGTTGCCTGTGGGGAAAACACTCAGTCGCACTCCGCAGTAACACACTCTGGTCCAGCATTGACGTGTAGCCACCACCACTTTTGAATGTGTCTGATAAAAGCCCACTGTCTCTGCAGCTTGTTATTGAATTCTCTTCCATTGTACATTGGCACACCATCAGACCTTTCTCTCTTGTGCTGATTTTTAACTCCCCTGCCGCTGCGGATACCAGAACTTTGAGAGACAAAGGCTTAGTCATTCTGGCAGATATGCATCACTGCAGGATAAAGAGAGTGATATCTAATTGTATATACCCAGTATGAATTCTCTAGTTAAATAATCTTGTATTTCAGACTTTTGTGGGCGTTTTGGAAAAGAGGGTGGAGGGGTGAAAACAGAATTGTTGAATAGATATTTTAAAAGAATGGAAAAAAAATTATCTTGTGCTAATTTGTTATGTAAACAGTATTAAGATCAAACTTAAATAGATTTTCATCTCAAACTTATTTTTTTTAAATGCCTGAATGTGATGCCACAACAGGAATTTCTGCCACCCAGTGCTCTAATCCTGTTGTACTCTTAGCACTTTAGTATTGGCTATGTCTTCCATTTTCACAAATTGTACATGCACAGGAAAAAAGAAATATTAGAGACCGTTTCTTAGAAGTCTTTTGTGTAGATAGTGAGTTTTACCTAAAGCTTAAATACAGGCCATAAAGTTCCATTTTGCTTGGGTCAGGTTAATCCACTGAAGTCAAGAGCTACATCAAGATTTAATAAGCTACTTTGTTTTCCCATGGAATTTAAGGACATTGCTATAAATTAGTTTTGATAAAATTTATTATATGGTATTTTAAAGGTTATCTATATTTCCTGAGAATTTTTTTTTTTTGCATCCAGATGAGTTCTTCTAAAAGCCATCTCAAGATTCAGTAAAAAAGTCTTGGTAAATAAAGAAAACAAATTGTACATTTATTTACACCAGTATTTGGTAATGGTATGCTAATGGGGTAGATCTATTTTAATATAGAGTGTGCCATTCACAGAGGACCCAGTGTTTCAAACTAAGCCACACGTAACATACATGTGCAGTGTTGCTGCATTCTTTGGAGCGTGTTCCCTGGCAGCAAAATGATGGTGAAATAAATTCTAGTTCTTTGAATGCCTGTCAAGTTGCTTCTGAAGTCATGATTCTAGACAAATTCGTAGACGCTGGTGTAAAAGCTCACAGAAACAAAGGAATTGAGACAGCAGCTAAGGAGAATAGAGATGAGAGAGATAATACAGCAAGTGAGTAAGACTGCAAAGCCCAGGAAGCAAAGTCTGAAGGATGCCAGTGTGCATGTGCGTGTGGCTGCCGGTCATCAGGAGTCTTTTGCACTCTACTCTTTTTCCCATTTCACAGATTGTTTATTTGTATGCACCTTCTTGCTTTATACTAACTAAATTTTTATTATTGGCTCAGAAATTCAGTGGCTGGAGAAGTTCTAAGAAGCTGAAATTCTGTGCTGCTCTCTGGTTTTAATTGTGGGAGGTTTTTTTGATTGAATCATTGAGAATAGCAAGTGAATGTGCTTTCATATCTTAATACTGCTTTTCTCTGAAGGTATCACAATGATCTCCTACTAATTTTTTGTGCCTTCAGGACACAGTATTAAAGAGGAAAAGGCAAACCTGAAACCACATAGAAGTTTGTCTCAAATACTTATCAGAGCCTCTGTGGTGTGGAAATCTTACAAGAACTGCTTTTTTTGTATGTTTTGTGAAAATTTTTCCAATTCTTTGTTTTGTTAAATCTCTAATGACATATAAGAATACCCTTTTATAAAGGTGAATCTTTTGCTTCCATTCCCTGTGAATAATTTGGGGGATGAAAAAAAAAGGTGCATAACAATTTACCTATTAAGAATGTACTTTTTTTCCTCGGCAGATTTTCTTCTTAAAGATTTTTCCATTCTTTGTTCGGTATCCCATTTAGAAAAGACTAATATGCAGTTTAAGTTTGACAGTAATAATTACCAAAAGTTTTTCAGTAAGTTTAGCTTGGAAAAAAAAAATGGTTTATGGTTTTCATATTAGAAGTCATCTGAACCCTGAAAGCTCATGCTTTTGGGTCATAGTTTGAAAGAATAAAAATTTCTTCACAGAATCAGAATCATGTAGGTTGGAAAGAACCTTCACAGGTCATCTAGATCAATCTCCTACTCTAAGCAAGTCCACATAGGTCAGTTGCTCAGAACTCCTTCAAACCTAGTTTTTAATATTTCCAAGGATGGAGATTCCAGAACTGCTCTGGGCAGCCTGTTCCAGTGTTTGAACACCACCAACCCAAACAAACCAAACCCAAAACCCACCAAAACATGTTTTCCTTCTGTCAAGTCAGATATAAGGACTCCTTTTTCAACTTGTGCCTTTCACTTCTCATCCTTCCTCTGTGCACCTCTGAGAAGTCTTTTCTACACCCTGCTATTAGGTAGTTGTAGACGATGAGATGCCTGCGTTCTTTTGGCCTCTCCATGTATGACGTGTGTCCCAACCCCTGACCATGCTTAGCAGCCCACTGGACTTGTTCCTCTATGTCAGTGCTTTGTACTGAGGAGACCAAAACTTGACGTAGGAGACTTCACGTGCCATCTCTTGAAGTGCTGAGTAGAGAGGAAAGAAATCACTATCTTGACCTGCTAGGTACACGCTTGCTAATACAGCCTGGTATGGGGTTGGCCTTTTTTGCAAGAGTGCCCTGCTGACTCGTGTTGAACCTGTTGTCCACCACGACTCTTGGGTCCTTTTCTGGAAGACTGCTTTCCAGCCAGTTGTCTCCCAGCCTGTACTGATGCATTAGGTTGTTTTGTCCAAAAAGCAGGACTTAATCTTTGTGGAACTCTTGGTGTCCCTGTCAGCCCATTTCTATATCCTGTTGAGGTCCCTCTGAATAGCAGCCCTGCAACTTTTGTGCATTTTTGTTGCTTTAAATACAAAGCAGCTGTGTATCTAAACAATCACATAATTAAGATAATTAATTTGCTAACTCATTTTACATTTTAATTATCAGTGATTGAATGATTAACAGAAAGGTCATAATTAAATTTAAATCAATAAACTGGTGACTTTGATTAATTTCCAACACTAAATGTAGCAAATAATTCAAAACCAGTAATGGGATTGACACTAAAACCAGTTGTATGTATATATTTTTAGGGCAGAAGGTGGAGAAATTTAAGAATCTAGGGGTTTTTCCGTGTATGGCTCCAGTGAGGTTCTATCCAGGATAATATGTTTTTACGTGGTGATTGACACAGGTGTCCATATTCCCCAGTGTTTACAGGGTGGGAGATGTAATCACAAGTAGGAGTTTTCACATCTCAGCACATATCTCCTTTTGGTTTTCAATTTTTAAGTTACATTTTTAGAAAAATATTACAGATGCCATTTTCATACATGAATATGTATTTCAGTGTCATTTTCCTTTAGTCCTCGCTTCATTTCTTAGACATAAGGAATTACAGGTCCTAACTGGAAGTGTCGGTGTTCCAGCTTGTGCCATTTGTCTCTGAGAATAAGTCTGGTTCCATCCTTTCTGTACCCTCCCCCTTTAGGCAGTGAGGCACAACAAAAATCTTTCCTTAGCCTAAAATAGTTCATTTTAAAATGTCTGTTTGCTAATTCAGCTTTCACTGACAATACCAGTATCTTTAAAACCTGAAAAAAAATCTTTGAGGATGTGTCTTCACTCTCAGTTTTTGTACTGCAGGTTTAGTAAAGGGAGGCCTATACAGGTGTGGACATAAATTAGGAAAATGAAAAAACAAGCTAAATAGAAGGTAGTTCCTTCTCCCCCTGCTCCTTTCCCATTCCACTCCTAGTACAGTAACCTGAAAAGACTATTTTGGAGATGCTCACTTTCCCATTATTCCAGTATTCCTTCCTGGTCCAGCAATAAAGCGATGATTCTGTATTAGACATCAAGATATCCTACATAATTTAGTAAATAGGATGCCAGAAGAATAACCTTACAAAACCGCTATGAGACTAAGCGGAAGCAAGACCAAAGCCTACAAAAATGCTTTTAATAGCTAGCAGAAATGGCCACTTGAACACCTTGACTTCCTTATTATAAAAAAGGAAAATAATTAATGCAGCATATTTTAGTTGTTTCTTGGTATGAAAATTCCTTCTTAAAGAATTTTAAACCAAAATAAAGCTTTAACATGGCTGCTAGTTTAGGCTTTTCAGTGTGCCAGGTTATAGTCTTTAAGTGACAGAAGCGTATATTCCTTCCCTAGCCATGGATTTTACAGCTGTAGACCCTCAGCTAGTGCTGGAACACAAGCCTTTTACCGTCACGCTCTGGAGTTCATTCTAATTTACACTGGCTACAAGCAAAGCGGTATTTTTTTTTATTTTTTTAACAAACATAGCTTTTTGTTAGGAAAATTCTTAACACGTGTCTCTCATAATTTCAAATAAAAGTAAGCATGGTTATTTTAAATTAATGCAAAAGACCCAAACTTAAGTAATTGTTTAAAAACTAAATAGCCCATTAGAAAAAAAATAACTTGTGAAAACATCCAGGTTTTCAGTACTGTGATGATTTTGATACTGAGTAGATTCTATGAACAGTATTTGATTGACAATACGTGTCTTGAACTCTTTAAATTATGTTTTGTTTAAAAAAAAATCCTAATAATATGACTGATAAAGAGCTAGAAAAATCTTTTCAGTATTATGGCTGGTTTTACTATTACCATAAACTGCTAAAAGGGTTAAATTTCCATTTACTGCT